TTTCAATTAATAATTTTTTTTTTTATATTAATAAATAAATACTGAAACACATATTTGAATTTTATTAGGTAATAATTTGTGGTAGAGTTTTAGATAAATTATTTTATTTTTAATATCAATTAATAAATATTTTTTATTTTAATAATTCTTGTCTAATTGTATTTTATTTTATTAAAATACTCATAATAAATAGATAAATAGCTAATTTGTGTTAGAATTTTATATAAAAACTTTTAAAATATTATTTTATTTTCTTTAAATATATTATTGTCTAATTAGATTTCCCTTTATTAAAAAAAACTCATAATAAATAGATAAACACATGTTATATGTGATAAAGTTTTAAATAAAATAAAATATGTAATTTGTGATAGAGTTTTGTATAAATTATCTTTTTTTTTTTTAATAATTTTTTTTCCCTAAATAAATTCGTAATGAATAGATAATGTGATAGAGTTTTATAAAAAATAAAATAGCTAATTTGTGATAAATTTTATTGAAATTATTTTATTTTCTTTAAATATATTATTTTCTAATTTGATTTCCTTTTATTAAAAAATTCATAATAAATAGATAAATAGGTAATATGTGTTAGAGTTTTTTAAAAACTCTTTTAAAAACTCTTTTTATATCAATTAATAAATATTTTTTTATTTTAATAATTCTTATCTAATTAGATTTCCTTTTATTAAAGACTCATAAATTGATAAATTGGTAATTTGTGTTAGATTTTTATATAAACTCTTTTAAAATTTCTTTTTATATCAATTAATAATTTTTTTTATATTTATAATTTTTGTTTAAATAGATTTCCTGTCATTAAAAAACTAATAATAAATTGATAAATAGGTAATTTGTAATAGAGTTTTATAGAAATTCTTTAAATATATCTTTGTCTAATGTAAATTATGTGATAGAGTTTTATTGAAAATAAAATTAGTAATTTGTGGTAGCATTTTATAGAAATTATTTTATTTTCATTATAGAAATTTGTATTCTTAACTACTGCCAATGCTACCTTTGGAAATATAAAAGTGGACATTAAGAAAAGGGAACAAATCTACCACCTTATTTGATTTGAAAATTTGAATTCTCAAATTTAGTTTTTGTTAGTAAAAAAAATTAAAAAAAAAAAAACATATAAAAAATTTTCAGCAACAAATTCATTTAAAGTCCAACCGAAAACCCAAAAACATTGAAACTTGTATTAAGAGTAAACCAAAAATAAAAAATAAAAACTGAGAAAAAAATTACAAATCAAAGTAAACTTATAAAGAGTAAAATAAAAATAAAAACTAAAGAAAAAAAAAATAATGATACTTCTAAAAAATAAAAAGTAAAGAAAAAAAATAACAATAATGACTCAAAATAATAATAAATTATGAATGAATAAAAAAATAAAAATAAAAAAATCACAATCCAATGTAAACTTACCAAATTAACCACTTCTAAACATCAATTAGAAAGAGAAAAATAAAATAAAACAAATCAACTACTTTTAAACATCAATTAGAAAAAGAAAAATAAAAATAAAACAAAAGAAAATAATAATAATAATACTTCTAAAAAGAAAAAGTACAGAAAAAAATTAACAATTCAACATTCTCAATACAACAAATTAAGAATAACAAATTTTGAACCATCCAAAGTATAATTACAAAGAGTAAAATAAAAATAAAAACTAAAGAGAAAAGAAGAATGATTCTTCTCAAAAAGAAAAAATAATAATAATAATAAAAAACAATAATGACTCAAAATAATAATAAATTAAGAATGAACTAAAAATAAATAAATAAAAAATGAAGAAAAAAAATCAACCACTTCTAAACATCAATTAGAAAGAGAAAATAAAAATAAAACAAATCAACTACTTGTAAACATAAACATCAATTAGAAAGAGGAAAAAAATAATAATAATCCTTATAAAAAGAAAAAGTAAAGAAAAAACTTACGAGACCAATTATAAAGAGAAAATAAAAAAAAATATGCATATCACAAGCCGGACCTAATATATATATCGGTTATATGTGATAGAGTTTATAAAAAATAAAATAAGTAACTGAAATTTTATTAGGTAATTTGTGTTAAAATTTTATAAAAACTCTTTATATAATAATAATAATAATAATTGTATCAATTAATAAATAATTTTTTATAATAATAAATAAATACTAAACTACTGAAGCAATTAATAAATATTTTTTTTATATTAATAAATAAATACTGAAACTCTTTGCACATTTAAAAAATAGGGTTAATTATACCCACACCCCCTAAGGTTTATCTTATTGACAACAAGATGAAAGTTGACCCTTGTTTAAACAACGACTACCCCTAAGGTTTGATAAAGTTTACAAAGACACTCTTGCCACATCTTACACACGATAAAATCGCCTAAATAACCATTGAATTGTCAACAATCACATTTGAATCATTAAATGACTTAAATACCCTGTGTAATTATAATTTTAATCATATATTACCATATTAACAGCATCACAACAATATATATATATATATATATATATATATAATTAGAAGAAGACAGCATGGTGGAAGAGGCTATGACTCTGGCAACAACGTGAAGGGGAGAGAAGAGGGGTGTTGACTATGGAAATCATGTGATTGGATACATGAGATCTATGAAATTTATTTTCTGAATATCGTGATCCTATATATATATTTTCTGAATATCGTGATCCTATATATATATATATATATAGGATCACGATATTCAGAAAATAAATTTCATAGATCTCATGTATCCAATCACATGATTTCCATAGTCAACACCCCTCTTCTCTCCCCTTCACGTTGTTGCCAGAGTCATAGCCTCTTCCACCATGCTGTCTTCTTCTAATTATATATATATATATATATATATATATATTGCCTTCTTCGATTTAATTAATGCATACACTTTTTACAAATCATATTACATATAAACACATACAAGAGGTTTTTTTGCGAATTGAAGATCAAAGAATAAGATATACTCACACACACGCATTTATATATATATATATTATCAAATTTGAACAAAACAAAGGAAAATACATAAATCCATATAAACCCATATATAAACTATTTGAAGTTTCATTGGTTTGAATTAGAGCTTTGATTTAAAAACCCAGATGAAATTAATCGTAAAAAATTGGGAAGAATGGCTTTTAGAGGAGCAAACCCATAAACGAAGTTTTTTTTGCGAATTGAAGATCAAAGAATAAGATATACTCACACACACACGCATATATATATATATTATCAAATTTGAACAAAACAAAGGAAAATACATAAATCCATATATATAGACCCATATATAAACTATTTGAAGTTTCATTGGTTTGAATTAGAGCTCTGATTTAAAAACCCAGATGAAATTAATCGTGAAAAATTGGGAAGAATGGCTTTTAGAGGAGCAAACCCATAAACGGCCCGGTGAGGTGCGGAGCCGAACACAAGCTGCCAGAACCAAAAAGGAGCAAACCCAGAAAATTAACGCCGGCGAGGTGGGGATCCCAACATGAGCCATCGGAGCCGAAGAGAAACAAATCCAGAAAACGTTGACAGAGGCTGTAGGGGTCCAGCGTAGTATATTTATATGTGTTTTTTGTGTGTATACCCGTGGTAGTGGTAGTGGTGGTGGTAGGAGGTTGAGAGGCGGGCTGTAGTGGTGGCTGTCGGTGGGGACCGGTGGCGGTAGGTGAGGATGATAGGAGCACCAAACACGTAGTTAATAATCTGAGGGGTATTTTGGTGATATAAATATTTTGATATTTTAGTTTAAGAATTATTATTTTATTGAAGGGCAATAGTGTCTTTTATCACATTTTTAGGAGTTGTTTGGTTACCCTTTCTGACAAGGGGTGTGAGTGTTCAAAAAGAGACTAATTATCATCTGGTTGTCAATTGAACAAATCTGAGAAGGTGTGAGTATAATTAACCTTAAAAAATATATATATTATATTAATTAATAAATAATTTTTTATATTAATAAATAAATACTGAACTACTGAAGTAATTAATAAATATTTTTTATATTAATAAATAAATACTAAAATACTACACCTCTTTACACATTTAATATTTAATAATAGTATAAATATAGATATATATATATACACATAAATACAATCTTCATTCTTTCCTTTGTAATTGATTTTTTCCTTCTTTTTTTTTTTTTTTTTTTTTTTCTCTTTAAATTCGTATTCGTGACCCCAACGCAAGCTATAAACCATATATATATCTAGCAAAAAGGACGTGTAATTGATTATATATAAATTCAACTTAAAAATCAAAGTAAATATGATCTTTAGTTGACACTCCACAAGGTTTTTAACTAGTCAAATTATTGTAGATTATCTATATGTTTGCATCATCATTAAGTTGCTGCCAAACAATGCCCTTTCTTTCAAGTGCCATCTAAAATAAACTCTATCGCTCCAGTATATTAGACTCAAAATCAAAACTAACCAAAAAATTCAAAAAAAATCATCTTACAAAAGAAAATGGAGAGAAAAATAAATTCATGGCAGGTATCATATTTATCATAGCCTGCACCGCTCCATAGTTTGGCAGATTTGTGTGCGAGCACGTAACACATATCCTATTATAAGCAATTCGCTTCAATCTTAACATTACCTAATGGCCTAGTTGGCAACTCTCGGGACGAGTGTTCGAGTCCTTTCTCCCCTTAGTTTGCCAACCTCCAATCTGAAAAATAAAAAATTTAAGCAATATATATATATATATATATATATCTGTGCTAAGATAATATTAAAAACACAGTGAGTCACATGCCTATAATTTTATGTAAGACATTGACATGGATTAGCTACAAACCACAACCACTGGGAGGTTTTTTCGTCATACTGAAATCAGGGAACAGGTAAGCCTAACCATTTGACACACATAATGGTGCAGTTAGCGAGTAAAGTTGTTAGTAACAAAATGTTTCTAATCCATTTTTGCTCCAACAATAAATAGATACACAATGCAAGTAGTAATATTACCATTTGATCATATAGATCTCATTCCACAATGGCAGAGAAGGAACTCTCAGAGCACCGTAATAGAAAGCAACCCAGACAATTAGTTTCTGTTCCATTTATTTGGGAGCAAAGACCGGGATTTCCTAAAAAAGACTGGAAGCCCACTGCTCATCCACCGGTTAATCCAGTTGCACCACCTCCGGTCAAGCTTGTGGCCTCGATTCCCTTTAAATGGGAGGAAAAGCCCGGAAAACCACTTCCTTGCTTCTCACAGCCAACACCAGAATCAGGCACTCAGCTCACACCAGCAAATTCCATTGGCCTCCCATGGCCCCTGGTATGCTTTCAAGGCAATGATGGTAATGGGGATCCTAGTTGTCATAATGATGATGATGAACAAAAAGGGATGTTTGAATCGAACCTTGAACCATGCAGTTTTGAAACGGACGAGTCCTCTAGCTCAGCTCCCTCTCTCCTAGCCAATCGCCTCGTGTCAGCTATGGCCATTTCCAGTGCTGTTCCTTGGCAGCATACTTTTCTGACGGAAAATCAAAGTGGCCAGCCGCAGACCCCTCCTTCACCAGCTTCTGAAGCAGATAGTAGCACAAGCACCTATGCAACCGGAACTACAAGCTTAGTCGGAGCATCTTTCTTGGAGTGCCTCTTTCCATTGTCATCACCCAATTCGAGTTTCCTTGACAAGGTTGGATACTCAGAAAAGATTTCTTCTCATATCCCACCAAAAGTACCAAATGAAGATTTCGATCGCGAAAGTAATTGCAGCATTGTCATAAGAAGGCCTCCAACACTTGGAGAACTGATCGTGATGAGCCGAAGGAGAAGTTGCCGAAGGAAAGCCATTCAAATGCGGAAACAAAATTACTCAATGGTAATTCTCCATTTTTCACTAATCTTTTATATGGTACCTGAAACTAAAATAGTTTATGCGCTATCAAATCTGGAAAGCATATTGAACAAGGAGATTCAAAAACAAGAGAACAAAACTTTTTTGTTCCCAATTCTCATATATTAATGATGTTAAATAACTATCATGATGCAAGTATATACTCCCTAGAACAAATATATATATATATATATATATATTCAGACATCTATTCTTGCCTGATCAAAACAATGGCAGGAATTCATGAAGAAGAGTGCTTTTGGATGCTGCGTCTTCAGAACAAGCAACAACATTTTAGGACTGCACAAGAAGTGGAAGAGGCAGTTGCGGCTTAACCTGGTGTAGGAAAAAAGCCCCTTCCACCCTACAGCTCAGCATCACACTGCAATCAGTTCTCTCCATCAGCATTTCTTTCTAAAACATTGGTATATTTTATTCCGATCATATGGGCATGTAACCAATTTTATAATTTCCATAAATGCAAAATTTTCAAAATCTGCCAGAACTCCAAGAGAGCTATACTGAGGCTTCTACTTTAACGCAAATGCTAACCATATCCAGCAGCAGCTCCTTGAACAATGAAATTGTGATTTTTACAAAAACAATGCCATTGGCTATCAGTCGGTTTAGCTCGAATTCTAGAACTTCGCCACATTTCAGGAGGGAGATTTACAAGTTTCAACAACTTTACGAATCCGGTCGACAACTAAAGGAATATCCTTCTCGGTTAACGAAGTGAAACAACACCTGAACCATCCGGGTTCAATGCAGTGACAAGCTGACCCAGGAGTTACATTGATCTTAGCTACATTTAGGAGCTTCTCCCATAGCTCAAGTTCCCCTTTCTCGTTGTAAGGATGAATTAACCCGCTCATATTAGCCCAGCAGTACAAACCACCACTACTCTTTGTGCACTCTATCCCTAATTTTTTCAAAGCTGTCACAAACAAGTCATACATTGTCCTTATCCTCACTCGATTGGTCTTGATATATTCATGAGTGAATACAGTATCAGAAAGCATGGAAATCAATATCCTTTGTGTTGGAACTGAAATTGAAGAAAATCTAGTTAACTTTTTAGAAGCCTTCAAAACATTTTTATTCCAGGAATAGATAACCCCAGCTCTAAAGCCAGGAAGAGATAAGTCTTTGGACAGCCCATATATTACATGAACTCTGTCCTTGTCGAAATCTTCTGAGTCAAGAATATCTGCAAAGCTCACAAACGCCTCGCTTCCATAGGTGGACCCTGCATATATTTCATCAGATATGATATGGATGTTCTTCTCTCTGGCGAAATCTAAGAGACTGTCAAGTGTTTCCCTATTAAGCAGAGTACCAACAGGGTTAGAAGGGTTAGAAATAAGAACTCCGCGGACTTTTTGTCCTCGTTTTCTGGCCTGATTGAATGCTTGATCGAGAGATGCAACATTTAAACTGAAGTCATCAGAGCTACGACAGTGAACAGGTATTAGCTCCACTCCTGTCCGCCATCTCACATCCCTATCAAAACTGCATATTGCTTTCTGATTAATTTCCGCAAAGAAATTCTTTAACAAGAAATGACAGGCTATAAAATCTATTATTAAATTTTTTTTAAATAAAAGGATTATCAATTGGAAATGTTTCAAAGTGAAAGAATATATTACCCAGAGTAATATGGTGTCGGAACGAGAAATGCATTCCCCTGGTCTGCCAAACAAAAGCAGAGTATCTCAATTGCAGGAGTTGCACCAGATGTTAATACCAGTTGTGATGGGTCAAACGGAGCTTTGCTTCCCATGACCTGAGACATGAAACCTGCCACAGCCTGCAGAATTGATTGAAAAATAATTACACGGACTCAACCCCATTCCACGACACGCTTAACTAATTATTTATGCATATTAAAGCGAGAATTATTGTGCAAAAGCAATAAACCAATACAAAATCCATGGTTTTCAAGTTTTAAAAACAGGGAAAAATAAATAATACTACAGAAGTTATTTAGAATTTGGACAAAAGAGAGGAATCTAAAAAAGCTATTACCATCATTTGTCAACTAACCCCATGAAATTAGTCAAACTCAGATAATTTATAGACAAAGATAATAGTTGACAATTAGCAGTGTTATATAACTGAAACAACTCATGAAAATTTCTCATATATTAAGATGCATGTGTTCTATATATTTTACAGTTTAATGTAATATTGGTTTGAATTTGTTACTATTATTGTGAATGATCTTGTGGACAAGAGTAGTGGTTTATGTTTGGAGTTGGATTATTTCAAATTTATGATTATTGGTTTGAATTTGTCACTCCAAGTAGTTGGGGAAAACTGGGACAAGCCTTGGTGGTGGTTGTTGGTTTGAATTTGTTACTATTATTGTGAAATTGAATGATCTTGTGGACAAGAGTATTGGTTTATGTTTAGAGTTGGATTATTTCAAAGTTATCGTTATTCAAGTCATGTAAGGTGTTTTTAATGAATCGTTGAGTGTTCTTTTGTCATGCCATGGGATGAGATTTCTCAATAGATTTTATTGCAGCGTGACAGAATGGCATCAAACCTTAGGTATTAGATCCATTCAGGATATCAAACTATAGGTTATGGTAAATTTGATACGGTTAGTTTTACCCGGTATTAAGGTACTCTTAGTGTAGGCAGATGGTCCATTACGATAATATGATATGTCTTTCTCTTGTCGAAGAAGCAGAATGTTATTTCATGATAAATCCAGGCTTATGTAATGAGGTCTTGTCATCTTAACTGCATTGAATTGATTGATAGTATGATTGAGGATTAATATTGTGCTCTAAAAAATAAATATTGAGAGTTTAGATAAGGGTGTACCTAAATTACGGTTGTGGAGCTTAAAAAATAAATAAATAAAAATAAATTGTTTTATTTAAGTTCTTAGTTTGGTTTTCTTATCAGGAGATGTTATATAGACAGCACTTATACGAAGAGTTATGAGCGAAGGATTGAATTATAAGCATTTTCATATAAATGGTAATGATTTATTATTAAAATTATCCCTGTTAACCAGACCTTTTGACTTAGATTCTGTGCTAATTGCAGCAAGTATAAAAAATGGATATCAACTATTGAAAGAAACCATACGAGCTAATTTGTGTAATTAATTAACACAAGAAACATCCATGACAAAAGAAGAGACTTAATAGCTTAAACTTGCTCAATAGTATTCCAGTTATTTGATTATACTAGTTTTTATAAAACATAAAGAGTTATGATATCTGCTAAATGATCACTTCTCTCATATATCAGTAGTATTCCAGTTATTTGATTATATTTTTCAACCATCGCTAGCAATATTGGTACATCATACTATCATAGCAACATTGACTTATTAGCAACTTGTTTGGTGAACTAACCTAATTTATTTTTTTTTATTAACTTATTACTGAATACAAAGCTGTTGTGTAGTCTGTAAGTGATGAACAATATCAGTTTTGTAAGAGGACATAAAACATATACATATACACTTATACATACATATATAACTGCTTAAAGATGTAAATTGAAGTCAAGAAGCTACAAATTGGGTTATCTAAATCAAATTCTGGTTAATAATAAATGAGTTAAAATAAGGGTAAAGCGCAAAAAAAAAACAAAACAAAAAACAAAAAACAAAACCTCGCTATACAAAAAATGTGCAAAAAACACCCTTCCTAAAAATTAAGTGCATATAAATCCTTGTATTATCAATCTTTCGAAAAAATTGACCCTATTGCATAGATTCGTTGGAAAATAGTTGTTGTTGGCATCATGTTTTTCTGAAAACCCAAAAGTACCCTTTTTTGAGTTACAAAAGTACCATTTTTCTCTAAAATTTCTCTCTGTCGCCGATAGTATCTTTCTTTTATTTTTTTATTTTTCTCTCTCTAAAATTTCTCAGTTAGGGACACAGAGAGACTTGGATTTTAGGCTTTCCAGTCCTTTGCTTTTAATGTAGTAGTACAGCAAGCAAGGAATTGATCATGCAACATCTTCCATTTGCTTTGGTTACTTGATTGATTCTCTCAGCTATGAATTCTTTGATTAGAGCAACTACTTGCCCCATTTCTACCTACCTATGGTCCAGCCACTCCAACTGCAGTTTATGATGACTATAACTTATGGATGGAGTATTGGTGGTAGTTCTCAAAGCCCTCAACCTTTAAGACCCATTGAAATCCATGTCCCCAACCTCTCACATTCTCTCCTCTCTGCCACCACGATCACTCATCTCAACCACCACGATCATTGTTACCACCCCCATTCATTCTCTCTTCTCTTCATCATTACTACCACCGCCCTCTTCCCCCATTCTGCCAACACCGCAACAGCGTACCATCAATCCAGTTGAACCGCCCAGTTCACCACTACCACAGTATTATATATATATATATATCAAATACCTCCACCCATCAATTTTAAAGATGTGCAGATTAATTTTTTACCAAAACTACTCATAGGTATGCATATATACATGCACAAGGATTTGGCAGCTGTGGTGGCTCGTTGATAATTGGCAGAAAGAGAAGGGGAAAGGAAGAGGTGGTGAGTTATACGTGTGAAAGGGACAGTGTTATAAATACTAAATAGATGCAGAGTTGGGTAAGAAGTTTGATTGAACGTGGAATCAAGGTTTTTCCGGTGGGAAAAGAAAACTGAGAGCTTTACAATGCAAGGAGAGTGGTGGTGGAGACCTGAGAGAGGAGAGGGGATGGTGATGGAGCCTTTATGCTATTACTTTTAGAGAAGGGGGGGGGGGGGGGGGGGGGTGCGGGATTTTGACATTTCGCATTTTACCCCCTTTTTTTTCCATGAAAAAGTAAGGATAATTAGTAATTTCATGCTTCAATTACAGCCAAAATTATGATTTGTCCTTATTTGCACAAATTGATTGAAAAATACAGGGGTAGTTTTATGAACAACGGGGTGCAATTGCGCATTTTGTATATCATGAGGGTTTTTTTTGCACTTTACCCTTTGAATAATAATCCAATTCCTAATTTATATTTCTTTCATAAACTTACTACCAAATACAAAGCTGTTGTGTAGCTTTTAAGTGATGAACAAATATCAATTTGTAAGAAGACATAAATCACAAACATATATATATAAGTAACGAAGCTACAAATTGGACTATTTAGATCAAATTCTCATTAATAACAATAAGAATCCAAACCCATTTTATCACCAAAATCGAATTACAATCATCATTACCTCTTTCAACTCCTTCAATCCATCAAACGGCTGGTATGTGGTAATTCCACTAATACTCAAGCCACCACCTGCCCCAAGTATCGATTCATTCAAATTCCGAGAAAGCCAATGCTCAATCAAATCCAGCGACAACTACAACCACAAAAAAAATCAAAACAAACACAAAAACAAAAACAAAAGCAATTCAATCAACATAAATCAACAGAAAACAGAAACGTACTCTATTTTCAGATATTCCGAGCTGAATGATACCATTGGGATTCGTCAATTCGTCATAGGCATCTTCCGAAGCCCTATCCAAGCCAATGTAATAGGGCGAATCGTCCGGCTTCGTTAACGGACTAGCCCTAGAAGAAATGTGGGCCTGCCCTATCGATCCACGGCTCGACAGATTGGAGCGCGACGTCGCTCGAGCCAGCGACGTCGTTCGCGGCAGCTCGGACGGCGGCGACGGCGGCGGCGGCGTATGGTTGGAAGAGGGCGGCGGAGGAGGACGGCGGCGTTTGAGGTAGAACTGGAGGAAGTAGAAAAGGGCACAAGGGACGATTGAGCCCAAGATTAGGCCACCCTTGCCCTGAACTACTCCTTGTAAGGGCACTACCAGTCTCATACCTGAAGTTCCTCCAATATCACCACCGCTCGAGACTGGTTTCCGGGTCTCTTCTTCACTGTCCGGTTAGGGTTTCTGTATAAACGGGTACGGGTCATATAGTCGCCAGACGACTCCGACTGGTCTGTTGTGTCGTGAATTTTGAGGCTTTGCTTGTACAGAGAGAAAATGGGATTCGGTGCAATGTTTTACACGACGAGTCTAGGACTTACGTGAAATCTCCTCCATCAATAAAGTTTTTTTTTTTAATAATGATGGGGGTTGGAAATTAAGATGTACTTCACTCTTCTTTTTCTTTCTGTTTGTTTTTCTTTTTTTTTCGCCTTCTTATAAGATAAGTATTGAGGTCCAAAGTACTCCACCGTCTCAAAAATTTTTATTTTTAGCTTTTTCAATATAAGTGTCGCATTTAAAGAGTCAATTTATTATTTTTTATCACTATTATTAATTTAACCTTCATACATTTAATTTATAATTAACAAAAATTATTACATTATTATGAATCCATTCAGAGTAAATTTAATAATTCATTCACCACTAATATAATTAAAAAATAATAAAAACTTAAATTTTCCAAAAAAATAACATTTTTATTTAGACAGTATTTATTATGAAGATGTCATTCTTGATCCCACAACAAAAATTCCAACGTGTCCTGCTAGGTCCTAAACTACTTCCGTTATCATTTTACTATTGGAATGGTGTGGTACGATTCACCACTCACAGGATGTACAGGGTTTCATAAAAATTGGAACCAAATAATGAGAAAATGGTTTGGTTTGATTCAATTTTAAAGATTTAAGTTTTTTTATAATTTAATTTTATATATAATTAAATATATATTTTTTATTTTTTATTTATACCTTATTTATAATATTATATTATATTATATATTATAATTTATAGTTGAACGGACAAAAGACTAATCTTATTATTTATATTATATAAAATATATTAATATTATGGAATTTACATATCGGTTTAATTCACTTTCAGTTTGATCTTATACAACTTCATACATGAATCAATCCAAATCATAAAAAATTTCTAACGTTTGGTTTATCAGTGTAATAGGATTTTTGTGCACTTTACTACTCTCTCCGGGAAAGAGTTTAGTTTTTAATATTTTTTTTTATTATAGTGGTAGATAATAAAATGTCAAATATACCTTTTTATACCGGTTCTACATAACTTGAATTGCTTTTAAAACGGATGAAGTGCAAAAAAAAAAAAAAAAACCTCTTAAGTTTAAAAGTGTGCAAATAATATCTCTTGTTTTCAAAAATCACCTAAGTATGAAAAGTGAGCGAACAAGAACTCCTTCTCAAAGAAATAGATAAATATACTAAAATAGATAAATATACGAAAATACCCTCAATATTTTATACAATAATAATAAAATATAGTTAGAAATTGTGATTTGGTCTGTGTTGTTGGCATCAGGTTCTCTCTCATCCAGTGGCCCCTCGTTGGCATCGTGATTCCGGTCGCTTGGATTGTGTACTTAAAAATGCCAAACAGTTCGTACAATATATACATATACCTATTTGCATAAATGCATCCATTATATATGTGTGTTTATATATATCATTGACTTACACATACCAGCAAGTCAGCAACTATGGCTCTTAAAGGTCATTGAATCTTTCTTTTTTTTCCTTCCTTTTTTCGGGTAAGTAAAAGCTATTCTGTATATGTTACTGTGTCCAATACTTGAGTTATCAATAGCAGGTTGTTGGTTATATAATTATTATGAAATATAAAAATAAAAAAATATATAAATTAAAATTTAACATGAATGATATAGTAATAAATTGAAGAGGGTTGATTGTCATCACATAATTGACAAAAAAAAGAGAGAAGTTTTCCGGCAGCAATGGCGATTATTTATGTTGAAAGAAAAAAGATTCTGGTGAGATAAACCTCGTGATTGAATGGAGGTTGGAAAGAAAAAAAGGTTTTAAATGGTCACTAAAAATGTTTTAGGATTGATGACTATTTGTTTTTTTTTAATATGTAAGGTCACTTTATAGCTATTAAGTTTAATTTCAATCGCTAAAAAAATAATTTTTGCAATTTTGATTTATCAGTTTATTAGAGTATTCTATATATTATAATATATAGAAATGAGAGAAAAATAAATTAGGTGTAGTTTAGGTAGTGCAAAAGGATAGTATAGGTATTAAAAGGCTATTTTTAGTCTGATGGGCACATGACATTTTAGGAGGTCATAAGTTCTTATTTGCCCACTTTTCATATTATAGAGATATTTTTTAACACAAAAAGTATTATTTACACATTTTTAAAACTACAATGAGATTTTTTGTATTTCTCCCCTTTTAAAACTTTAAGACAATGAGAGTAAATTAGGATTATTAAAAAAATTCTGCATTGAGATGAGAAGTGGGAGAATTATTTTTGATACGAGTCTCTTCTTGAAGAGTGCAGGAAACTTTATTGAGCTTTTTCTCGAGAAACTCAATTGGGATGGATAATAAAAAGAGACATTGTATTTGTCGCCTTCAAAGTTAGGTTCTAAATGGAGTAGAAATGTGATCATCATGGCATGGACTATTAGATTTCTCTCCAGAAACTAGGATTCCCAAATGAGTGCACGAATAAGTCCAAAATTATGATTCAAAGCCATTCTCCTTTGACATGACCCTACCCTATCCTCAAAAACAAAGGGAGGGTTTCAGACCGGACGTTTGGCAAAATGATATATTTATTGTATCATTCAAAGAATATATATATATAAAAACGATTAAGTGCAAAAAAAACACCCTCTCTATATATAAAAGGTGCAAAAAAATACCCTCAGTATTTGTAAATAAACCCTACTGTATTTGTTGGTGCAAAATACCCCCGAATCAGTCATTTTGACTAATTCATTTTTAAAAAAATTCCAAAATACCCTCATAATCTAGTGAACACCATTTCCAACCAAGCCTTCACCTTCGTCCCTGTAATTCATCCATCTCTGAGAAATTCTTTTATGCAGTGAAATGAGGTGAAGAATGGGTGAGTAATGGCGGCAGCAAAAGTTAGGGCAGCTTGGCAGAGAACAACTAATTGTTGCTTTGTCCAAGAAGATGCCAAAATAGCTCCTAAAATTAGCATGCGACCCAACAGCATCTTCATCATGCAAACAAGGTAGATGCAGGACCTGCAAATGCAAAAGGTGGGAACCCTTCATATTCTAATTTATCCCCTGACTCGAGATGGTGGCTCCATCTGCAACCTAATTATGGATATCAAAGGGGTTTAACAAATGAAAAGTTAAATACCGTGTTATTGTCGACGCTTGGAGCAGTGGTGGCTTGGAATGCCCGCGGGCAATTGCCCGGTTAGCACAGTGACGGCGAAGGTGAAGGCTTGGTCGGAAATGGTGTTCACTGGCATTTTGGAATTTTTCAAAAAAATGAATTAGTCAAAATGGCTTATTAGGGGGTTAGTTGCACCCAACAATACAGTAGGGGGTTATTTGCCCATTTGCGCGCGCACACAAATAATAATAATAATAATAGGGTGTTTTTTACACCTTTTGTATATAAGTAGGGTTTTTTTTGGCACTTAACTCATATATAAATTACATACATCATTTACAAAATTACTTTGTTCCTTTTTAGACTCCAACACTCACCATTCAATATACAAAAAATTAAAATTAAATATAAACCATACATCATGTAATATATAAAAATTTACATGATTCGGTGTCTACAGTGAAATCTCGAAGAAAATATGAAAACTGCAAATTTTCAAACCCCCAACTATTTTTCTCTCCATTTAGATTTTCATTGTTCTCTCACGGATATGCCATCCTACTACTATGGATAGAGGATGCATACTCTTTTTTTATTCTACTTCATAAAACACGATGAAGACATTTCAGAGTTTTACTAGCACGATGAAGACATTTCAGAGTTTTACTAGTGTTCAATTTGCTCCTCTCCTGCAAAACAATAATCCTGTCACACAAGTACACCACTAACCGGACGAGACAGAACAATACTATTGACTACTGGACGAGACGGGACACTTTTGATTGTTGAATGAATGCGACCGAGGGCAGACTAGTGCAGGTGGGGTTTTCATGAGCCAAACCTTCTTGGCAGAAATGGAGAAACTATATATATATATATATATACACACACACACACACACACACACACAACTGCCTAGATAAGATAACAAAATTAAACTTTATAAACCTTGCAATTAAAACAAAAGGGACATCAAGTTTACAACAAAAATAACCAGCACTATAAAGAGTAGATATTTTTTTCCTTTCATTTAACCTGCTGCTAGGTCTAGCCCACTATAGTTCCAGAATTGCTTGTACAAAAAATTAGACACCACTGCCTAGATAAGATATCAAATTTGTATTTTACCCCATATGTAACTAAACAACTTCATCTTAAATGTCTCGGAAACTCAACTCAATTCATGAGTGCATATGCATACACTCTAGAGTGAGAAAATAACCCATAGGAACCAAAAATAGGGATTTTCTGCATCCCCCTTTCATCATTTACCTTCCCCCAAGGTAAGCAAAAGCAGGGAAATGAAGTCTTAAAGCGTGTTTTTCGATATAACTTCACCAAACCTAACAAACCATTGGGCATCAGCAGAATTATTGTCCGTCTGGACCTCCAACCGCTGCTGCGTTTTTAGTTGAGGCTGTCCTTTCTCAATCACAAACTGTGCATAACCGGAAGCTTTTGGCGAAGCAGGGGCAGGACAAGGTTTCGATGGAGGAGCTGGAAGCAAGGAGACCAGGACCCTTGCGACCTCATGCATGCTTGGTCTCTCAGAAGGCTGGTGCTTCGTGCACAGCAAGGCAAGTTTGAACATCTTTCGAACATGAGCTAAATTCATGCATGTCACAGAAACCTCTGGATCAACTGCCTCCATCACAGTGTTATCATCCGCCTTCGCCAATATCTGAAAAAGACGAAACAATTTTTTTAAGGCACATAGGCTTACGAAACAAAATTCATGCAAGTGATGTTTTGACTCAACAAATCAACACTGTACCAGTTGAAGCAGGTTAGAATCGTTATCAACAGCCTTCCTTCCGGTCAGTAACTCAAGAAGAACAATCCCGAAGCTATAAACATCAGACTTTTCATTTACCCGAGAGGTCCGGGCATACTCTGGGTCAATGTAACCTATAGTGCCAAGGACATAAGTTGAGGCATGAGTTTTTGCACTCGGTATACATTTCGCAATCCCAAAATCAGAAAGATGAGCCTCGAAATTCTCATCCAGCAGGATATTTGAGGATTTCACATCCCTGTGAACAATTCTAGGATTGCAATCATGGTGAAGATAAGCAAGCCCTTGAGCAGCTCCGACTGCAATTTTTAGACGCGTCTCCCAATCCAGTTTTACCTTCTTCGATGGTCCTGTGATGTATTTGCCAAAAACCACAAGTGACTTTCAATAGTTGAATGCTGAAGATATTCAAATACCATTAACTAATTTGTACAAGTCACTTGAAAAATTACGTCAAGCAGAAACATGCTATACAAGTGATCACATTACATCTCAATCTCAACACAAAATTTTATAATATACAAACCATAAATCAAGGCAAGTTTCCTTTTCAGAACCAGAAATGTTAAAATAAATTGTGTAGTAACCCCTATAATTACAAGAATAAAGGTGAGCAGACTTACCATGAAGAAGATCCCAAAGAGAACCATTCTCCATGTAGTCATAAAAAAGGAGGTTCCCCAAGTGGGACAGAGCATAACCGTGCAAGCTCACGAGGTTCCTGTGTCTGATGCTGCCAATGGTCTCAAGTTCAGTTTCAAAATCTCGCAAGTTGTGCTGATACTGAGTGTAAAGTCGCTTAACTGCAATTGGTCGGGAATTCTTCAACGCACATTTATATACAGTGCTAGTGGCACCATATCCTATAATGTACTTCTCGCTGAAATTTTCAGTGATTCTCATGATATCTTCGTAGGAGTGAATAGCCAAATCCAAGTGAAGAACTACAAGCTTAGGAGGACCTAAAAGGAAAAGAAAACCACCTTGAAAACTTGAAGAATGTCACACAACAAATAAAAAATTAAAAAACAAGCAGAGTATATACCATGCACACCCTTGTTGGACTCCTTCATAAACTGCTTTGGTTGGTGGGATTTGTAAATAGCGACTATGACCATGGATAAAAGTGTTATAAAACCCAATGTTATACAAACAACCGCAGTTCTGGAGAATATCACTGTTCGAGATCATAAAAAGCACATTAATATTTCAGCCAAGCAAAGCATTTTTTTTTTTACTTTACATTCCAAGGAAAGCTGAATTTACAATGCTGTAAAATTAATCCGATACCATTGGATTTCGTTGCATATGGATCACATATTGATCCCAACCAGTTGCCACATAGTAAAGGATTTCCAATGAAGCTAATGACAAAAAAATAAATTGTCAGAAGATTATAGGATCAGGTCTGTGTTGAATAAAAATTTGAGGATGGATTTCTTCCAATGCCTTCCCCTGTACCTGTCTGGTGAAAACCGTGAAAAGTTTCTAGTAGCAGGCATAAGCCCTGATAAGTTGTTGTAAGATACATTCCTGAAGAGCATAAAGATAAGTAACTCATGATGATTTCATGCAATCATGTGAATAAATAAGAAGTGGAACTTACAGAGACGAAAGACTCAGACAATTGGTTAGCTGGTTTGGAATTTCACCATGCAGATTGTTGTTATTCAATATACTGCAAAAAGATTTCAACCAGAAAATTGTAATATCATGAGCAACACCTAAAGGAAATGATTGATCAGAAGACAAGAGGGTTGGGGAAGGAAAAAAACTAGATGAACTTACAGAGATGCAATATTTTGTAGCTGACCCAATTCTCCAGGTATACCACCAGATATTAAGTTAAATGATATGTCACTACAAGAATAGTAAAAACCATAATTATAAGTTTTGAACTTAATCGCAATACAACGAAAATGGATTCAACTGATGATCTCTACTAAAAAACTCACATTATTTGTATACTTCTAAGATTTCCAAATTCTGCGGGTACTGGCCCCTCAAGATGATTGTGGCTCAAATTCCTAGGTTCAACAGGTTATATAAGTCACTACAAAAATATTAAGGAAAATGATGCGTTAAAGATTGTGCATCTCTTACAGTGTAAGAAGGTGCTCCAGATCACCAACAGAGGCAGGAACAGGTCCTGAGAAGTCATTCCCAGAAAGATCCCTAAACAATATAAAGAGGCTTAGTAGAGTAGAAGTAGATACAGACTAACAAACACAAGAAACTACACTTATAGTAAGAAACTTACAATTTATCAAGATTAATGATACGTCCGAGCTCAACAGGTATGCTACCACTGAAACTGTTTAATGAAAGGTTCCTGATATTTAACACAGTGGACACATTAATATGCAGGTGAGAGACGGAATTTGGAACCTTAATTTGTAGTAATTCTCAAATTTCAAATCAGGACATACAGATAGGTCAGGCTCTCCAGATTCCTAAAACCCAAAGGAATTGATCCGCTCAAACGGTTACCATGCACATTACTGGAAAAATAAATAAATAAATAAAGGAAAATGAAATTAGAATTGGATATTTAAACTTGAAAGTAAATGTGCATAAGCTTCTGCATAAATCAGATATCCTACAATTGATTCAACGCAGTGCAGGAGCTGATGTTTTGCGGAATGGGTCCTTCAAGATTGTTATTAGCAAGATTCCTGAGTAAAAAGAAATAAAACAAATTAAAAAATAAAGTAGTGGAAAAATTGCTGAGGATAAAAGCGACTCACAGTTCGAACAGCTGATCCAATTTCCCAAGTTCAGCAGGAATATGACCAACCAATTGATTGTCATTCAACTGCCTGCAAATTAGATAGACTTGTTAACTAAGTCCAAAACAATACTGAATGTTGCAACCTAAAAGCGGGATGTATCTCACAAATAGCTAAGCTTCGACATATTGCCAAGCTCTAGTGGAATGGGTCCCGTAAGTTTGTTGCCATGCAGGTACCTGGTCCATGAAACAAAAGTATCAGTGAACAAAATGAGGAGAAAACAAATCATTTGAGTAATTCAAATGAGGGAGAACTTACAGTTTTCCAGTGTACGATAGATTGCCAAGAATCGGTGGGATTGACCCAACTAATTCATTCTCACTTAAATCGCTGAAAGAAAGTGCAAAAAAAGAATGCAAATAATTCCCAGCAGTCCTTTACCGCAAATCACCACCCAAAAAATTCAATCAGAAAATTCTGTAGGATTAAGACACCCAGCATACTTACAGAACAGCGAGGGCTTGCATGAGACCTATCACCTCAGGAATCTTTCCTGTTAGCCTATTTCCTTGAAGAGACCTTAAAAGAGAAGCACAGTCATTATAAATCCCATTACCAAAACTCAAACTCGGAATGCATTTCGAAAAGAACTAAGCAATAAGTAATGTTATTTTTTATTGACAGTTAAACTATAATTGAAGGGAAAGTAAGAATTCCTTTATCTGGTTTCTACTTCTTCCAAAAAGAAGATTCAGCTTGACTATAGTTCAGAGTATGAGAACTTACAGCGTAGCAACCTGTAGAAATCCAATATTGTATGGAATCTCCCCAGTGATTTGATTGTATGAGATGTCCCTGAAGTTCAAAAACAAATAACTTCATAATCATTGGAGAAGAAAACTGCAACAAAAATGTAACCAGCACAAAGAAGCTTACAAGATTTCGAAGCTTGTACAGTTACCAATGCTATCTGGGATTGGTCCAGTAAGGTTGTTGCTTCTCACATCACTACAAAGCAATATACAAAAAATTCCAAGGTCATGACAAACGCAGAGTAGATTACAAAGAAAGAAAGCCGAGGAAAGACAATAAGAAAGCATGCGCACTCACAAGTACCACAGGCCAGTCAGTTGGCACATATCAGGGGACAGTGTTCCAGTTAATGAGTTACTGCGTAAACCACTGTAAACATAGTAAAATCAAGCCACTAGTTATTGAAACTACATATGATATAGTTTAACAGAAAAGCTCTCCAATTCATCTCAGGATTAAACCATGTGTAGAATGATAGTTTTAGCACTTACAGATATTGCAATACTTCATTCCAATAGATTAACCTTGGTATCTCACCCGTAAGCTGGTTCCGAGCAAGATCACTGGAGAAAAAAAAAATCACCACGAGCAACAGCATTCCAATCAGCATAAATTTGTGCAATATCGGGAAGCTTAATAACCTAAATAAACATTCTCAGCCAGATATAGAAGTAAAATATATATAGTTGGTTTTACGATATACAGAAATCAAAATTATCCATTTGGAAGTATGGAACTATAAGCATTTCAATAGAGAAGAGAACTCACAGAGTTTTGAGGTTAGGAATCTGAGTTAATGTTGAAGGGATAGGACCAGTCAATTGGTTGTTCTTCAAACTTCTGCATTGTATGGGTTTACTCCAACTTTCAGTTAAAAAACCTAAAAGTTAAAATGTAAAACAAAGCAACATACTCTGTAACATTTCAAGAATAAACTCACAACAACTCCAGTTGCTTGAGCTTAGATACTGAGAAGGGTATATCCCCATACAGCATATTATCAGACAAGTCCCTGCATCATAAAAGCATCAAAAAGTCATGTAAAGAAAATTCTAACCAGCAAAACACTTAGAAATATATACATAAACGCATAAACTTGTAATAACAAAGAGGTTAAACTTTTACACAAGAATCAGTGAAACACAGTTCCCCATCTCATCTGGGATTTGACCTGTCAAACTGTTCCCATGGAAGTCTCTGCCAATATTTAGAGTACACATGAGAACAGAATAATATTAAAATGGGAAGACACAAAACATGAGGAATATGATTAATCAAGAACATACACAGAAAGCAGATTCTTCAAGTCCCCAATGGCTGGTGAAATTTCCCCACCCAAGTTCAAATTTGACAAATTCCTTCAAGCCACAGTCATGAAAAAATTCAATAGAATCATGGACATAGATTTGGGGGAAAATGAACAATAACCCATATACAGAGAGGAGGGAGAAACTTACAGAGAAACAACAGATGAGCTAACATTATCACAAATGACACCCCTCCAAGAACAGAAATCATCGTTGTGCACAACATCCCAGTCCAGCAACACATTAGCTACATTGCTAAATGATGCTTTGATCGACATCAATGTTTTCCCTGAAAAAATTATAAATACAACCAAAAAAAAAAATCAATCAAGTATATAAAAAGCCTAAAATACAGACCCATATTCTCTAATAACAAGTTGAAGGAGACCCATGTCTTCTAATAACAAGTTGAAGCAGAGGAAGCCAAATATGAGCAATCCGTGTTTGGTTACTCAGAAACAGTACAAAGCTGTAGAAAAGAAGAAGAGAAGCTATGGAATATACTGTTTTAGCGAAACACAGGTTGTAATGCGAAAAGATGAATGGAGATTTTTGCTTGAGTACGAGAATCAAAGCCCAATATCCATCATTTTCCCAACATTTTCCCAGAAACCAAACAGGGCAAAACAGAAAACCGCTCGATTCTTCCATTTTCAAAAATCAAAATTCCAAAACCTCTCAGGCATTTTTTAAGGCTACAAAACAAACTTCAACTTTCCAAATAGCTGAGAACAAAAGAGAGAATCAACAAAAATAGTAAACATTTTGAGTCTCATTCATCAGAAGCAATAACTCAAAGCACAATAAGAAGCACGGAAACGCACCCATGTGTATACAACACACACACATGTGTATATGTATAGACGGCAGAGAAAGAGAAAAAGGGTTTTTACCTTCGTCACCGAGAGGTGAAGATAGTACAGGAAAGAGAAGCACAATCACAACCATTACAGAACACAAAACCAGCTTCTTCTTCTTCTCCATTATCAAATCGATACAAGAACCAAAAGAGTGAATGAAGAAATAAGCATATAGGGAGAGATGGGGGGTTAGAGAGAGAAAGTGGTAGGGAGCAGAGCAGGCGTTTGGCGTGAACTGTAAGGAAGTTGTGGAAGTACTGTTAATGTTGGGGCTGGGTGTGTTATGAGGAGAGAGAAAGTGACAGTTTTTAGAGAGAGAGAGTCTGTATCTATGTATGTAAACGGCGGTGAAGCGACGTTAGTATGTGACTGTGTGAGACGAAAGTGGCAGCGGCCGTCACCGTACTTCCGTTTCCCGAAGTGTACATTGGACAGCAAAGCTTTGAGAGGAGTGTTACTGCTCACTCCACGCGCTCTGTTATGTCGGTGAGCGCGTGAATTAATCGACGGTGGTGGTGTTTTGGGATATTTGAGATGTGTGGTTAATGACGGGGTTGGCAGTGGACGCGCTGTGGTGGCGAGTTGGGATTGATGTGGCATACAGAGGAGAGAGAGAAGAGCGTGCTTAATAGTGTGATACTGATAAGGAGAGAGAAAATGGACAAAGGAATTGGTTGTCTGAGGGGAAAAAAAAACTATTTCCAAGGTCGTTTTTGCTGCTTCAAACGAATTGTTTTTGTCTTATGTGACATTGTGCGTGTCTTTATCATCCTAATACTACTGCGACAACCATCTCCATTAAAAAAATATTAATGTTTTTTTAATGTTTTGTATTTTAAGAAATGAAAATTTAAAAATAATATAAAAAGTTAACAGAAAATTATTTTCTAAAAATTTAATTTAACACAAATGATTGTTTTCAAAAAAAAGTCTTAATTTTACTGTTTTATGAATTTTTCAGAACTATTTTTGAAAAACTAAGCCATTGACTGAATAAGGGCTGATTCAATCATAATTCAATAAGAGTTATTGATTCATTTTGATAATTCAATAGATTATTTATGATTAATAATATTTAATTTATTATTAATTAGATATTCGATCTAATAATTCAATTAGAAAAAAGTATATAATTTTTTGTTAAAAATAAATTAATGTGGGAAGATATTAGCAAACAATGATGAGTAAAAGAGAGAACCCAAAGAAGAAAAATAAAAACTCCAAGGGGTTAATTCAGGTGAAAAATATTACAATCGAAACTTATCCTATTACATCGGACTCGAATGGGAAAATGAATGAATATTTATGGATTGGCTATTAATTCTACCTTATAGTGGTATTAGAGTTAGACTCATTCCTTAATCTAGTGCACGTCAAGTGCCCGATTCGAAGGGATCTGATTCAACGGTCTTGATAGACAGGGTGGCTCAAACGCAAACATTATGAATTCGTGTATATTATATATTGTATAATGATAAAAAAATATATATATATATATATATATTTTAATAATATAGCATTAGATAATATATTCATGGTATATTATACGGGTTATATTCTAATTATTGACTCAGATTGTAATAAAATTTTGATGCAATTTCTAATGAAATTTTCATATGATTTTAAGACATTGTATAAATTATTACTTAAATCAAATGCAGGCTGGACTGTCAGTCAGCCTAATTGGTACAGACTATCTGATTTTTCACATGGCTCATTAATACATTTTAAAAAAAATTCTAGTTATATTTAAGTTGAAAAACAAAATTTGAGTTAAATTTAGTTTGAGCTTACAATGCAAATCCAAATCAAATCATCCAAACTATTCGTTTAAATTGAAAAACTAAATATGTGTTTATAATAGTTTGAGTTATATTTAAGTTGAAAAACAAAAATTGAGTTTAATTTAGTTTGAGCTTACAATGCAAATCCAAATAAAATCATCCAAACTATATGTTTAAATTGAAAAACTAAAAATGTGTTTATAATAGTTTGAGTTTGAGATTGAATATTTACAATACAATACATTGTCTATTTAAGTTGAAATTTCTTCTTTACGTGTGATGTGTCATAATATTATAAATGATGTATTTTTAAATAATATTAGAGAATGAATATAAAAAAATAATAATAATAATCTTATTTTTTTTTAATTCAGATTCAATCATATTATAAAACGTCAGCTATAAGATCATACGTTCTTATTATGTCCGATTATTTAAATTTTGATGCAAATAATCCGAACCCAATCGAATTCAATTTAAAATCTACTAACATTCTCTTAACCCTAAAAAATAAAAATAAAAAATCTCTTAACCCTAAATCAATATGAACTCAAAAATCAGAGTATTAAGATGTGAATGAAAAAACTCATGTTAGAGATCAAGTTGAATTGACCTCATGTTCCAACCAATCACTGAATTGGATCTCCATATGTAGATCATGTACTGACATACATCTATATAAATGTATATATATAGAGTATAGACATACATTTTGATGAAAGTAACAAAATCAAAAAACTTGCCAAAAAAAAATAGAAGCAGAAAATTGCTAAAAACTATTACGGAAGGGGTTAGAATTAAGTAGATAAGCAAGCGACAGAAGTGGTGCAGAACTGAGCAATTCGAGCTTTTGTAAGCAAGAAACAGGCTGCTCCGAATAAAGCTGGCCCTGTTTCATCTATTTTTTGTTTTCAATTGTTGACCATACATAAACACACACACACACACACACACACGTATATGTATATATGTATATCTATTACAGTATTACAGTACTATATATATGTTGTATAAAAATGGTGTAGACATGTACTTACTAGATATTGCTGATCTTGGTCCCACTTATTTTTTGTATAGGGATTGAAACAATACATTTTTATGTGTTTTTTTGGCAGAGAATATGTTTTATGGTTCCAATGGTATTTGACACTACTAGTAGTAGTACATAAAACATAAAATTGGGGATCTGTTATGGTTGGTTCTCAACTAGAGACAAATACCCTTTGAAACTTCAGTTAGCACAGAACTAATTAGTTGTTTAATTTACTGAACTACCCTCCTCGTGTTAATTTGTTTACCACTTGAATTTTAAGTGATAATTTAAAAATAAATATGTTTTGATATTCTATTAATTTTTTTGACAATATTTAGGTCCTCACCGTGAAGATGTACACCATTTGATCGTTGATGGATCAATAATAAATAGACATATTTTCTTTAAATTACTAAATCATAGATAGTAATTAACACACCATATGTGATTTGGTAGGTGAGCATATATCCTACCATTTATGATTTAATAATTAAAGGTAACGTGTTCATATATTATGGGTCTGCATCAGCAGTCAGAATGATATACATCCTTACCGGAGAACACCTGAAGTGTTGTCCTTAAATTTTTAGTAATTCAATAATTTTATCTTATTTTAAGTGACGTTTACTATTTTTAATTATATTCAATTTGTGTTATCGGATAAGCGCTTAAATCAAATTAAGCACTTAATTACGCTATCAAATAGCATAGAGCACTTAAATTGTGTTTAGTCGAAAGAATTTTTAAAAAAATACATCCACTAAACAACTTTTTTTCTTTAAATTCCTTCCATTAAAATGCATTTTGCAAAGCCCATTAAGCGAAAGGAATTTGAAGATCAAGAAGCTCCCCCAAACAGAGCCTTAATAAGTATCTCCTTATAAATAAAATGCACATGTTACAATCATTATTTATTTATGTCAAAATGATTTTATAATAACATATTAAACCGTAATTCTTTATGATAAAATCCCATTCAATTTAATCGAAACTACCCTAAACGCAGGGGTGGCTGGACCTTAGGCGACTTAGCCAGTTGCCTAAGATCTCAACCAATATGCATGTCTCAATTTTTTTTTTATTTCTTTATATTATATCATTATTAAAAAATTTTATTTTTTATTTCCTTCCTAGTATCACTTCAGCCATTTTAAAAACTCAAAAATTTGTATTTCCTTATATTATAACTTTAAAAAAAAATTATTTGTTTATATTATAACCTTCTTAAAAATGTTATTTCCTTATTATTAAACTCTGCCCAATACAAAAACCCTATATATATATATATATATATATATTTTATTTCCTTATATTATAACCTTTTTGAAATTTTTATTTGTATCAATTATTAGACACTAACTAATAGAGATTTAATAAGAGCCAAAAGATTTTTATCCTTATCTTACCCTTCTTTTTTTTCTCTCTAGAATATGTAGAATGTTCCATATTATTATTTTAACTTTTATCTTCTTTGTTTCTTTGTTTGTTTTTTTTTTTTTTCCCTTCTTATTTCTAACATATTTTTGCTCATTTTTCATTAAGTATAAATTGTATAACTCTAAGATCAATTATGTGACAAGAAAGATTTATTGGATTGACTATATATATATTAGATATTAAAGACCATTTTTATATTTTTCGCTTAAAGCCTCAAATTATATTAAGCCGCTCATGCCTAAACGTGTAACTAATAACAAAACGAGGTTGATCTCACCATATAACATGTTTTTTTTCTTTCAAATAAATGACCATTGTTTTTTCCTTTTGGCAGCAAAATGCATAATTTAAATTTGATACATTGTTTTCCAAACATATTATTAATCACAAAAGGATTAAATTCAAACAATTTTACAAAAGCGATTATCAAAAAGCACTTGATCTAAATGCAAGTAAATTAGTCCAGCTCAAGTTGTTCATCTAGTAATGAAAGATTTTATTCTCAAGAAAAATTGTAATTAAAAGCATTTATTAAAAATCTTAAAATGAAAGAGAATTTAGCCTAATTTTTTGGGGATAAATTTCACTTACCCATAAGATATTTTAATATCCCACACAAACCCTTTTTACGTTTTATAATTCTATTCGTCTCTTCTGAGATTGTAGTTTACATAACATATTTTCTTACTTGATGACCATTTTGCCCTTCTATGTTAAATCGATGACAAATATTTCATGGGTAATATAGTTAAAAGGGTCACCGATAGGAGAAATAAGTATATGGATTATGAAACCATAGGAATTTATATAAAATATTGACAAACGTTAAAGAAGAGGTAAATAAAGTTTATAAAAAATAATCAATTATAACTCAACCAACTAAACATAACAAGACCTACTTAAATTATACACCCCACCCAACGGTCATTGGTTTGACCATACTAACTAAGACGTAAGTAAAACATTTAATAAAATTGATATATTTATTTGCATATAAGTGAATAATTAATCGGAGAATTGGAGACTAATGCTACACAAGTATGAAATAATTTTTCAAAAAAAAATAATAAAAAAAAAATTCACACCACTATAAGGAAATGAGAGGCATCAGATCAGGTCCAAATCTGTAGCATGATGAACACGTGGCGACATCTGACGGTAGCTAAAAAGACCTGCACTAGCGAAACAGTGTGACAGCTAACATGCTGAGCCGGTAGGTCTCGTCAGTCTAAAAAGCGGGGAAAGAACCCGGACGACTGATCCGCCGGTTGTCCGCCGTCAGCTGCTGTGGAATGGAAGAGCTTTCTGACTCCAATTAGAGTGGGACCCACCTCGAAAACGCATTTAATATAGAGTCGCTTCTGAAAAGATGGTG